GATTAACAAATAATAATTTATTTTATGTATTAGTTAATAATAATTATTATTACTTTACAGATTCTGATTTTGGTGTCATGTCTAAGAACTCTTTCTTTAACCTTAAGTCAGAAAGGCTGAGATTTTGTTCTATATTTTCTTCTAGAAGTTTTATGTTTTATAGTTGGACATTTTATACTTAGATCTATGATCCACTTTGAGTTAATTTTTGTATATGAGATTCAAGTTGAAGTTCTTTTTTTTTTCTCTTTGATATCGTTCCATCCTCATTTATTGAAAAGACCATCTCTTCTCCACTGAACTGCTTTTGTACCTTTGCAAAATCAGCTATGTGCTTGTGTGAAAATATTTCTGGACTTTATTCTGTGCCACTGAGCTATGGAATATGGAATACCACAATCACTTGGTTATTATAGCTATAGCGTGAACCTTAACATTAGGGGGTGTTGAGTCTTTGAACTTTATTTTCCTTGGTCAGTTTTTCTACTAATTTAGTTCCATCTATTTGTGTGTATATTTTAAAATTAGTTTTATATATATATATATATATATATATATATATATATATATATATATATATATATATATATATAATCTTCCTTGGATAGTAATAGAAATTGATATAAACAAAAAAAATAATTTGGGCAGGATTGTTACATTTGTATGTTTATTTTTCCAACTTGTGAGCCCATTATGTCTTTCCATTTATTTAGATGTTAGGAACCAGTCCCTGCCTGGTTTCAGAAGCTGTAACCTCCCAGTGGCTAAGGCTGAGTGAGAGACCTTGGGACCATAAGCCATTGAGGAGACAAAGCTTATCTCCCTGGTAGGGTCGCTGCCTCTGCCCCTCGTATTTCACCCTGCTTGGCCCTGAGCCTGACCAGTTAGCCAATGACAGGTAAGATTCCTCAAGGGAGGAACGACCTAAGACAGGCACGGTCATGAGGGAGATCCCAGGGAAGGACTTGGGGAGCTATAGAAAAAGAGGGTGATGAACCCTCGTCCCTTGGCTTTGACATAGCCTGAGTCCTCATTCTGTCTGGAAGAATTCTTTTAATCTCTTGGCTGCCTTATTTCCTTTGCCGGACTTAAGCCTGAAACAATGAGAGAGGGCAGTGCAGTCCTGTGCTGGAAAGGGCAGGTTCCCCGGGATGATCAGGCCTAAAAATGAATACATAAAATCCTGTAAAACCTGCTTTGCTGAGAATTCCGTCAATTTTCTGCTAAGGGTCCAAGCAGGAAATGAGTTTGTTCCCCAAAGTTTTATGGCCCTTTAGCTAATTGACCCTGACTCAGAATAAGCCCTGGTAGTTCTTTGTATGTTATCTATTTTTGGTCCTTACTGCCTGACAATGATTGATGAGCTTTATCTGTATTCCTGTGCAAAATGAACCCAATAAAAGCCCATCAAGGAAAAGGCTCTTGGCCCTTCTCCTTTGAGAGATCGGCCACCTTTCCTCCCCAAGCAGATCATGTCTTGGTAGACTTATTCTCATCTGTGGCAGCTGGCGGGGGAAGGGGGGAGGGGGCTCTGCAGGTGGAGCTCCCCCACATTTAGGTCTTTAGTTTTTATTGATGTTCAGCAAACAGATCCTACACATGTTTGATTAGACTTGCAATAGTTCATTGTTTTGGAACTAGTGTAAATCGTATAAAATATTTACTTTCCAATTGCTCATTGCTAGTGCATAGAAATACGATTGATTTTTGGTGTTGACCTTGTACCTGTAATCTTGAGATCTAAGAATTTTTATTACTCTAAGAATTCTATTTGCATTTATTTTGAGTATTTTCTACATAGACAGTTATGTCATTGGCAAATACAGGCATTTCTTTTCCTTTCCAATTTGTATTACCTATATTTGTTTTTCTTGCTTTATTACACTGGTTAGGATTTTTAATACTGTGTTGACTAGGAGTGGTGAGAGTGGACATCTATGCTCTGATCTCAATTTTTAGAGGGATAACTTTCAGTCTTTCACTCTTAGCTATAGATTTTTTTTTAAAGAAATAGATTATCTAGTTGAATTTCCCTTCTACTCCCTGTACAGTTTGCTGAAAGGTTTAAACATGCATGTATGTTGAATTTTGTTAAATGCATTTTCTGCATCAATCTGTATACTCATGCGGTTTTCTTCCTTAGTCTGTTGTTATGGTGAACTACACTGACTGATTTTAGAATATTGAACTAGCCCTGCATTCCTTAAATAAATCTCACTGGTCATATTACATTATTCTTTTTATATATTGCTGGATTCAGTTTGCTCATATTTTGTTGATTTTGCATCTACATTCATGAGGTATATTAGCCTTTCTTTTCCCTTTGTGTACTGGCGTTGTCTGGTTTGGGGATGAGAGTATTGCCAGCCTCATAAAATTAGTTGCAAACTGTGGCCTTTTATTTTCTGGAAAAGATTATGGAGAATTGGTGTTACTTTAAAAACAAATGTCCAGTAGAATGAACCATTGAAACCATCTGGAACCAGAGACTTCTTTTTGAAAGTTTTTTTTAAGTACAACTTTAATTTTTTACTACCTTAAGAAAGGTTTTGGTCAAAGCCACATGATCGTTGGTAGGGCTAGAGGTGATGGCTTGTAGAAAAACGAGGGACACACTACTGGCAATTATGGAAGGGGAACCCTTGTTATGCAGTGGCGTTAGGTTACCAACACTGTTGTCGGCCATATAGAAAATGGGCCTAGTGAACTGGTTTATCAAGCTATTGACATTTCCAATTTTTTTTGTAGGTGCCACCTGGTTTCTCCCTGCTTCTAGACCATGTGAAAGGAGAGAAGATAAATTCAAGGAAGACCGTGAATAAAAAGCAGCCAGGGCCAGATGGCTTTAAAATTGTTCAGCCTCTTTTTCTGGAAAATAAGGCTAAGGCTAAGAACAATTGCATCACAGCAAAGACAAAATACAGGGCACTTTCAGGAAAGCATGGTCTAATGAGGAACCCAACCTTGTGACTGTGATGTCCCTTGTTCAGGACTCATAAAGATAACCTGTGGTCATTCAGAGTGTCTTCTCGTCAGAAAGAAGGCTCTCCAAAGCGTTTAAGTGTGTGTCTCCCAGATCCCTTCAATCAAACAGCAGGGCTTCTGAGAGGTATAAAAGCTCTGTGTCTCAGCCGTCTCATCAGAAACTCAAGGCAGAAAAGGGTTTATCTTCCAGAAATTTGAGGGTGTGGCCTTCGTCTAATGAAGTAAATTCCATAAAGATTCACAGGAGACTCACTAAGTTTGAGAAACAGAATTACGTATGCAAAACCACTCCTGGACAGAAAGGGGCGGATAGATACTCTTAGATGGTGATATTCTTGGCTTCGAGCTGATACTTTAATAGGATAAATCTTTCGAGGGCCTTGAGAAGGGATGAATGTATTTTGTACGTGGAGGAAATGCAAATAATTTAAGGCCAAAGGGCATAAATTCCCTCTGATGGCTTTAAAAAATAGGTATGTAATTTTTAATAAATTTCTCCCTTTGGGTGGGGGCTGGACCTCATGATTTGCTTCCGATGTCTCTTTCAGGACTAGGTTAAAAGAAGACTACAGCTTACAGTTTGGGTTCTCTCTCTCTTGGATTACTTGTGCTGAAGGAACACATGTCTTGAGCAGACCTACAGAGAGGTCCATGCGGCAAGTTTCCTGTCAACAGCCACGTGGCTTTGAAGACAGAACCTCTACCTTTAGTCACCTTTTCCGAAACTATAGCCCTGGCCACAAAGTTGACTGCAATTTTTTTTTTAAAGGAGTGATATTTAAACAAAAATTTACTTATTTATTTTTAGAGGGAGGGAAGAATGGCAGAAAGAGGGAGAGAAACATCCATGTGAGAGAGAAATGTTGATTGGTTGCCTCTTGTGTGTGCCCCAAATGGGGATGAACCCATAACCCAGGCATGTGCCCCATGACAGGAATTGAACTGAGGACTCTTCCCTTTGCAGAGGGACGTCTACCCAGCTGAGCCACACCAGTCAGGGATTAGACTGCTGTCTTGTGAGAGACCCTGAGCCAGCAATCTCCAGCTTAGCTGCTCCTAGATTCCTTAGAAATCATGTGTGATAACACACGTTTGTTGTTTTCAATGGCTAGGTTGGCTAGGTAGCAACAGATAGGTACTAGGCTCTCTATGGAGCTCACTTGTCTCTGGTACTGTGCCTGTAAATTCTAGTCATCTTGCCCTGTCTCCCCAACTCTGTGAGTCTTCAGGGCTCTGCTCCCATTTCTCTTTCCTGTGCTGGAGCCAGGACACTGCCTCCAGCTGGTGAGCCAGGGAAATCGGAGTGATCACCCATTTGCTTCCTTTCCAAATAGGTCATAGTCCTAGGCTGCCTGTTGTCCAATGCCTGAAACCCACTGTTTCTTGTTTGTTTTTACATTTTGTCTGTTTTTCTCATTGCTTAAGGTGAAGATTAATCTGGTTCTTGTTACTCTACCGTGGCCAGGGCTAGCTGAAGTCTCGAGGTCCACTCAGATGTGAGTGCTCCTGGGACTTAGCATCCTCACTCAGCTCAGTGCACGAGTTCTTTGTATTCCCTAAGAGTTTATGGTTTCTGGGAGGGGAAAAGATGTAAGATTAGCTTTAGGTGGTGAGAGGCTTCGGACCAGTAAGTGAAGAGAATGAAGAAGGGCTGGAGGCATCTAAGCCAACTTTCTATATAGAAAAGCCTGGGTTAGCAGATGCAACATGGGAGCACCTTGTGGACGAGCACAGCTGGGTCCACTTACTCTGAAGCTCGGTCACTTACCTCCGCCCCGCAAAAGCATCCTGGGTTGATGCTAGCTACCATCTGGTGACATACGTAGTGACCTGTCTTAAGCAACATATTTTTCCCAGCTGCTCTTCTTTTTCCTCGAAGATTGGTAATGCACACATATGTCACAGACCTGCTTTTTCTCCTCTAGCTCACCATACACAGTTCCCTCCACTGCAAACCAGGCTAGCCCTTGCTTCCACACACATCCATCTGTGAACCTCACCCACAGCCACGTTACCTCATGCTCTTGTTTGCACATCTAAGTCTGGTGTAGTTGCGGCAGAGAAACCTCCCACAAGCCATTTCTGTCTTAGGCTTGTTCTCTCTGAAAGCCAGCCAAATCATGCCGGTAGTAAGGTCCAAAAACTGGAATTGGAATAAAATACCATACAGAAATCAATTTCCATCATTTTTTACAGCATCTCAGAGAATTTCCTGAGAATTTCCACACCTATTTGCTATAAATTATTGAATTAGGTAGAGTGATGGGGAAAAAAGATATGTAAAAGCCACCATTCTTATCTTTTAAAAACGGATAGTTTAGTAGGAGAAATAAGTATACAAGTCATTACAACCCAAATGATTTATAAAAGCCTTTGAAAATATACCAGTAAGTTATAATAGTATTTCAAATGCGAGGAAGAGAAGACCTTGCTGGGAATTAGGCAAACCTTTCTGTAACAATCAAGATTAACATCTACCGGGAGGAACTGGTTGGTAGTGGGTGGAAAAGGTGGAGATGGGAATTTATGTAGGAAACCTGTGCTTCTGAGGAGCATATTAATTTAATCACATAGCTCATTTGTTTTAAGGAATCAAAAACTTATTCCAATAAATGCCTATAACTTCACATGCATTCCTCCAATTTTACTGATATTTTTGTTACTGTTAAAATTATATGAGAAACATTTAAGGTGTTTTGTAGCAGAGGTGTTCCATTGAAACCAGCCTTCTGTCTCAATGACTTGCTGTCTTTATTAAACACAAACTGTGTCTGATTTCTCGTCTGGTTTTAAATCTGCATAAATGAGTCCCATGAAAAGGTGCAGGTTCCCAAGTAACTCAGATATTTCTTGAGTGTCTGGATACCCACACCCACCCTCAGACCTCCTTTTAGAGCTTTTGCAAGATAAGAGTGTTTGAAGAAAAACACTCTTGACAAACTCACCTAGAGGGTCTTCATGTCTGTCTTTGAACGCTGGCCCACTCAAAGGAAGTTTCTCAGACTCAGCTTAGTCAAACAACGGCTTTCCTTTGAAATAAGATCGGCTGCCTCCCTGAAAGGCAGAGTAGCCACCCTTGTCACAAGGAACAGAAGGTGAAACAGCCAAGGGTGGGGGGGGACCAGCCTCAGTGCTGGCACTTTAAAGAGACCCGTTTGCATTGACTCTTGTTTCTAGGTGTCTGTCTGGCCTGGCCCAGAGGGTGCACATGGCAGGTTAGATCAATCAATCGCCCTTGAGTCTGGTCTGAAATGTTTGATGTGGCCAAGGGAAAATGTGTGTAGGTGCCCTGGAGAGCTGCAACAAAGGAGGCCATAATAGATAAGGTTGAATTCCCCCCCCCCCAAGACAGAAATAGCACAACATATTCAATGTACAGAAAAGTAAAAGAGGCAAATTAATCTCACCGGCTTGATATTTTTAGAATACAATACTTAATATCGGTCCCGTTAATCTCGGTCTCATTAGGAGTCTGTGTGTATGTGTGTGTGAGAGAGAGAGAGAGAAGGAGAGAGAGAGAGAGAGAGAGAGAGAGAGAGAGAGAGAGAGAGAAGAATCGATGAACGGGAAGCTGGATGATAAGGTGGGATAAGGGGCACTGAATTGTCAGGCCTGTCCTGAGAATCTGCCAAGCACACTCCATGGCGAATTCCTTTATCTCCAGGCTTAGAAAATTCCTGGAGACAAAGATGGGAAGAAAAGTCAAAGCTCTTTTGTAAACGGGGCGGCAGCTCCGCTCTCAGTCTGCACTGCGTTCTGCTTTGTGCGCGGTGCGCCGGGGACAACCTCGACCGGAGGAGGAGCCTGAGCAGGGGGTGGGGCGAGAAGAGGGAGGCCCTTCTACCTGCTCACACCTCCGCTGGGGGTGGGTGCACGGTGCGGTGTGAGGATGCAAATCGGGCTCCCGGAGCAGCCAATCAGGAGTCGGGTGAGGAAATTTGGGTCCCCACCCCATCCCAACCGGGCTTGCGAGCACGTGTGCGGTGTTCTGGGACCTTTGTCCCGCAAAGTCACACTTGGCGGGCAACCTGGGCCCCCTTTTCTCCCCCATACCCTACCTCGCGAGTCGAGTCTCCCCCGGGTCCCCCCACCCGTTAGCTCCCGCGCAGTTGCGGGTGAGAGCCTGCGGCACTCGGGTCTCGAGGCGTGTGCGGGCACGGCCACGCCAGGTCGCCGGGACGGCGGCACCGACCCCCGGCGCGGGTGCAGGCGGCGAGGCTCAGTCCGAACCCCACGGCTCTCCTGCCCCGCGAGGGACAGTCCTCCCTCCGTCTCCAGGCAGCGCTGCCCGCCTTGCGCTTGCGGGCTCTCGTCTTACTGTGGGTCGGTCCTGCGGGGCTCCGGAAACTCCTGCAACGTCCAGAACACAGAAAATAGACTCATCACCTAATTCGCCAGGGAGCCGGAGAGCTACGGGGCCGCGGCGCTGCCTGCCCCCGCTCCTCCCCCCACCCCACCCCCGCCTGTGCTCGGGCAGCCTCTCGGAGTCACACAGCACCCCCCGCCCCCGGCAGACAAAGGGCCCGGGCAAACTCGCCGCCCGGCCTCCTTGCGCTCGGGGAGGCGGCGGCGCCCGCGGTGGATCGCGCAGGGCGGCGCGCGCGGGGCAGGGAGCCGCGGCCGCAGGAGCGCGGGATGGGGAAGAGCCGCGAGATGCGCCTGGCTCACCTCTGCTGCTGCTGCTGCCTCCTTTACCAGCTGGGGGTCCTGTCGAATGGGATCGTTTCAGGTAAGTGCTGCCGCGACTTGCGGCTTGCTTTCCTAGGTCCCCAGCGGAGACCGGGAACGCACGGGTCCGCAGGGCTGGTGCAGCCAGTGCGCAGTGAGCAGGGCTCCGTGGGCAGCGAGGGAAAGAGCGTGCGGGCGCGGAGGAGGGGGTCACGCTCCAGAGCCAAGCGCAGTCCTCCAGGCCTTCTAAAAAACCGCCCTGAAAGGACTCGTTTTCCTCTGTGAGAGTAGTGATGTTTGCAAAGGTACGTTACGGCACCTGGAGGAAAACTGGGAAGGCCACACGCCGGTAGCTCTGCTCTGGCACGCACTTAAGAACATTATTTAATTGTGCTTGAGTCCTGCACCTTTCTGCAACCAAGCGCTGTCACCAGACTTGACCGCCCCACTCCCTCTCCCCTCCCCCCCGCCTTATAATCGTACTTTTATTTTGAAAACGCTGGGCTCTGTAATCCGATCGCAAGGCTTCAGGGGTTGCTGCAGTTTCGGGGGCTAGACGGGTGGTCTCCAACGCCTGTGAGCCTGGGCATGCTTGTGCACTTTCAGCTCGCACTTCTCTGTCTGCCCCGCCCGCAGGGCTGCAGTTCGCCCCGGACCGGGAGGAGTGGGAAGTCGTGTTTCCTGCACTCTGGCGCCGGGAGCCGGTGGACGCGGCCGGCGGCAGCGGGGTCAGCGCCGAGCCGAGCTGGATACGCGGCTCCCGGACTCCGGCGGCCGGCAGCTCCCGCGAAGTGCGCTCCGTGGCCCCGGCGCCGCCCGAGGAGCCCGCGGAGGGCCCGTCCGAGCCCCCGCCCCGGCCCCCGCCGCCGCCCCCGCCGCCGGAGGGCGAGGAGGACGAGGAGTTTGAGTCGCAGGAGCTGCCTCGGGGATCCGGCCGGGCTGCCGCGGTGTCCCCGGGCGCCCCGGCCTCGTGGCAGCCGCCGCCGCCCCCACTGCCACCCCCGTCTCCGCCCCCGGCCCTGCCCGCTGAGCCGGAAGGCGACGAGGTGCTGCTGCGGATCCCGGCCTTCTCCCGGGACCTCTACCTGCTGCTTCGGAGAGACGGCCGCTTCTTGGCGCCGCGCTTCTCGGTGGAGCAGCGGCCGAGCCCCGGCCCGGGCCCCACGCGGGCAGCCGCCGCCCCGGGCCCTCCCGCGCCGCCCGACGCCGCCTGCTTCTACACCGGGGCGGTGCTGCGGCACCCCGGCTCCCTGGCGTCTTTCAGCACCTGCGGAGGTGGCCTGGTAAGCGCCCTCCTTCCCCGCGTCCCACTCCCCGCGCCACTCCTCCCGCCCCCCACTCCCCCACTGACCAGGCTGACGAGCGCGCACCTCACCCCCTTCCAAAGCGCTCGCCCTGAACTTCACCCCAGACCTCACCACCACCACCACCCAGGACTCCTGGCGCTTCCCTCCTAGCGAACGTCTCCAAGGCCGTCAGTGAACCTGAAGGCTCCTTGGGTGGATTCGTAATCCGCAGCCTTCTCCTTCCAGACGCTTATACGTTTCTTCTGAGCACTGTAGGAAACTGTTGCCTCTGGTTTTACTTCTTTCTGTTTTCCAAAATAAGCCCGCCACGTGGTGTCTTTCAGGAGGTTGGAAGACAACCAATCTGCTCACTGATGAATCTCCTTCGTGTGCGCCCCTCATCCCCCAGTTCCTCGTTTGTTATCTTAGAGTTTTTTTATGTCCTACTTCCAAGTTGTCAGAACAGTTCTCTAAATTACATTCTGACGACTGCCAGTAATTTAAACACATCCACAGCCACGTTGGACAGCTGCTCATGCATCGGGTGAAGGGCAGGAGCTGGGCAGGACCAAACCACAAGACTGGGAGCTGTTGGCTAAGGGCTGACCTTGGAATCCAGTCTGTGTGCAGAGGTTATGGTCCCGTGATTTAACGCGATCTTTCCTAAGGTTTGCCTTTGATCTGGCGTCGCTTTTTGCCTTCTCTCCACTGCATGGGAAAAGGAGCAAGCGTGAGAGCTCTGTGGAGAGGCCTGCTGGAGCTGGAGAGCCAAAGCCATTTGTTCGGTCTGTCTGAGACGTAGCGGTCATCATCTGCTTTCCCCGCCTCTGCCCCTTGTTCGGGATAATCGTTACCTCCTGTGAGTCGGCCTTTGTGGCAGAGGCGACCTAGCCTAAGAGGTCCCGTTTGAACCGTTCTGAGGTGTCCACTTCAGTTGTTCATCACCATGGCCTTGACTGGCGGTTTAAGGCGAAACCCACAAAATACTGATGTGTGATGTGTGACGTGTGACCTGTGGCCTCATTTTGTTGTCCTTCCCGAGCCACTGATGAAATCCACAAGGACTCATCTGAAAAGCAACCTATTTGGAGAAAAATCTAAGAGGAATTATTTAATCCATTTTTAAAAGCACTTCATCTTTCTGGATCTCATTTTTCCTATTTATAGCAGGAAATATCAGCGCATTCAAAGCTACCCAAAGCCATGAAATGGAAAAAGATGGTTAGAAATTTAAACAAAATGAAACTGGAACTTGTTACCTATCCCTCCTGAAGTCCCTTAGTCAAATGATGTAAATTACTGCACGGGGCTGTATTTTACCAGATGCTCGTAATGATGAATATTCAAATATGAGCACTTTTAGCTATGAGTAGAAAGAAAAATCGGCATGGAAAAATCGCATGAGAAACTTTGGAAAATGTTTCTTGTGGAACTGATGTTTGAACACTTCACAGGCGGGAGTGCGTTTTGTGGGGATTTCATTGTCCACTAGTTTTTGGCCGGGATTCAATAATTACATCTAGGAAGTTCTTGGTGCGATGGAAGGAATAGGGGATAAAACATCGCACTGTGTTGAAATGCGGGCTTCTGGTCACATTTTCCACACGAGCTATGCCTTCTCCCCATACTTACGGGAGCAAAGCGAGAATTATGAGTAGGTTTTTCATAGACTGAACAGGAGTCTGACACACCTCCCTGTTTATCATGTTGGGCTTCACTCACTTTTCCTGTTAGCCACATATGTATATGTTCTGAACTGGGAAGTCTTTGTTATTGGGGAGAACGGACATTGCCAGCAATACAGTATAGCAGTCAGACTTTGCGTAGAGAGTTAGGCAGGTAGCCAGGGAGGGTGGGTTTGTTAGTCCAGACCCCACCGTGCCAGCCCTCTCCCTTCTGAGAGTGGGTGAGGAGAGAGAGCGTGCTTGGCCATCTGAGCCCTGACGTTGTCTTGTTTCCTGATGATTGGCATGTCCCCTACCTCTCTGGGATTCAGTTCCCATAAGGAAAGTGAGACAGTTGGGTTGATTTCCTTAACAAAAATTAGATGATAGAATTAAAATTTGACTGGATGTGAAATGTATTCTTGGTCCCGTGTCAGGGGCCCACAGGTTAGGAGGACATTACATACAAGTGGGTGTGTGCCATAGGCCATCGCGAATCCACACACTGACGTGATGAATCAGCTGCCGTGCCTGAGGTGATGTTCTCCTTGGGGAGCTGGAGAAGGCTTCCCCAAGTTTAACTGGGCTTTTCAGCCTGGGAGGCTTTCGCTGGGCAGAAAAGGGCCTGAGGGGTGTTTTAGATGGAGGGGACAGCTTGAGTGGACATGTGGAGGTGCAGCGTGTACCAAGGGAATGACAACGAATCCCCTGTGACCAGCCCAGAAGGTGCAATGAGGCTAAAGGACCGTGAATAGGGTGATTAGACCTGAAAAGCTTCCTATGCTAGAGCAGGGCTTCCTCTGACCACAGTTTTGCTCCTCTCCACTTCTGAAAGTCTGGGACCCTGGAATTCTAATGTGAGGAGTCCTGATGCCTTTATAAGAGGCTGAATTATTTATAAATGCAGCTGCCTTTAGTTTGCCACAGTGTTTCCTTCTGTGAGTGAAGCTGTCCAGTTGTCAGTGGCACAGAAAGGGCAGATGGCTAAGTGCACCTTCCCTTCCCCTGCCCGTAGGGACGCCTGCTGGGGCCGGGGCTGCTCAACACCTTCAGGGCAGCTACATAGTTGCAAGTATCTAAAACTCCTTTTCAAAGGAGATAGATCGTCAGCTCTCCAGTATTGCAAAGCGGTGAAGGTGAACGTTTATGAAATTGGCCATTCATTCTCCAAACATCCATCTAACTTGCTCTGGGAAGGGGAAAATGGTAGAATGGAGAAGTTGGGTGCAGGGTCAGCTGCTGCCTTTTCAAAGTCCCTCTCAATCCTTCTGGGTCTCATTTCCCTTCTTATAAAATGCACAAACTGTGTCATGTATCTAGCAGTCGATGTATGGAGCATCCCTACTACTTCTGTGTCTCTTTATTAGTCTCTAAAATTGAACGATAATCTGATCTGAGCCATATATTCCATCAAAGAGGCACACGAATATAATGCTGATCGGTGAAATGTTTATTGATCAACTGCTTTCGGCAAGGCTTTGTGTAGATACATGGAATACAAAAAAATGTAGAAGAAGTATTGGTAGGTTTCAAGAAGCTCCCAACCTGCCCTGTCAGTCACAGACAGATGTCAGCAGGGAAATAGAACAGGTGTAGCCATGTAAAAGGTAGGGAAGCCCCAAGGGCTATGGTGGCGCTCTCTTGTTCATTTCTGCAACATTGTAATAACTTTGAGTACACACTCTGTAACATTCACTACATAAAATACAACATCTGCAGAGCCTTGTGTTTTAAATAACAGTCTCTAAAAAAGTTAAAATACAGAAAAGCAACAAATTAAATTCCGTGAAAGAGTGCAATAGTTCCGGTCCCTCCAAGTGAGCACAACACGCGCAAACACGCGCACCGCTCTCTACCTGCTGGGCCAGGGCGCGCCGATCAGGGCACACCCTGCCTGCCTGCGGTTCTCTTTACATGGACTGTCGAAATGACTGCCAGTCATATTTAGATGATTTTTCCAGGATGATAAAGAGTGACTCCTAAAACTTTACTTAAATTTAGGGTTTTATACGGTAGTCATTTTGATTTGTTCTTGATACAGAATCAGCATCTTTGTGTGAATGCATTTTTTTTTTTTTTTGCAATTTACTCCCTCATGTAAATTAAAGTATTTGATGGCAATGGCAAGTGCTGGACCCTTAAGTACTTGGACGACATTTTGGACAAGGTGGTTTTTCAGGTACCAGCATGAAAGCAGCGGGGGAGGGTGGTCAGGGCAGGGGTGGGGGAGGGTAGGACACCCTAGGAGATCTGGGGGAGAAGTGGACTCAGCACCCAGATGGAAAAAGTAAGATAGCAGACGAACCACCCACATCTATCCACCTTGTTCGCTTGAGCCAAATCTCAGGAGTGACCGAGGAGATACTCGGAACGAATCTAAGGCAGCACAGAGAAGAAGGCCGTCCGCGCATCGGGCACCTCTGGGAAGACTGGAAGGGTTTGGACGGGATTAATGGAAAACGCACACACGGATGCTAGAGAACATCTGTGAGTGGTGAGAGCTGCGCCAGAGGAGCCGCTGCGCACGCAGAGGGCGGCAGGGGCCCCGGGTCAGCCACGCGGTGGCCTGCGCTGATCTCCACTCGCACCAGCTCGCGGAGGCCGAGCCCGTGTCCCTGGGCAGGAACAGAGAGGAGAGACCGAGCGTGCCCAGGCTGGGAGGTGACCTCGGAGGATCCAGAGTCTTCCGCACACAGTAGAAGGCCCCGCCTGTCTTGCCAAACCACGGGAGGTGAGCCTGGAAACTGAGCTGTCAGCTGACGGGTGAGCAGGGAAACCAGACAGAGGTGCTGACACCCACGAAGACCTTTTAAGGAAACGAACCACGTGAAAGAGCCATCAAACTCGGGTCAATTAACACATGAAGCAACAAAATTAGTAGAATAAATAGAATCCTTTCACAGAAAACTAAGAGTTGCTATACAGTCATGAAAAAAAATTTTAAAAACAAGAACAGCTTCTAAAAAAAGGAACAGATTTATTTTGGAAAAAAGTGATTAGAGACGATGAAACTAAATTTTTGATCATTATAATAAAAACGTCATAGATGAACTGATCGGTAAGTTTGTGATCTTGAAGAGCAAACTCAGAAATGATCCCAGGACATAATATAAGGGACACATAGATGAAAACTATGAAAGGAAAATTGTGAGCCGTTAATCATAGATCTAGATGGTCCAAATACCTCTAACAGTTGTTCATTTTTTAAATAAGCTATAGGGTAGAATTTCTAAAATGTATGCGGTATACGCTTAATATCCTTCCTAACTCAGATCACCAAAATGTACATTCGCCAGCCGGCCCTTGGACGTAAGGCCAGCTCCTGCCCACTGC